AGACCCATATGCCATATGAGCATACATGCGTGCGTATACAATTAGCTTCGCCACACGTATCACATGAACGATCGATGTGTGATCACCGTTGATAGCGTGAACTTTTAGCAGAATTTTTCTTTTATGGCCTTGCCATATATCTTGACATGATAGTGCATACATGGACCATATAATAGGCTTAATTTTTTGTGGCATTTATTGTCTTCAAGTAAGTATTTTGTGGCGATCAGTAGGATTTCTACATTTAAAATGGGAACTAGCTTATTTTGTGGCATTTATTATTGTCAAATGAGTATTTTTTGGCGATCATAGGGTCTCTTGTTGGTCATGCACATACATAGAAATATATGAGACATCACATAGCCGCTGTTCTATGTAGAAAATGGTTTGTTAGTGTAATTTTTTATTTCCCTTAGGTGCATGCCATTTGTATTACTGGAAAGGTTCGTAGTGTAATTGTTAAGAGGCATATTGGTCCTGGCAGTATTCACTAACGCCCTCTGTGCTAGTAGACAACTGAGCTAGATGAAATTAGCAATATATTGGTCTCTAGTGTGCGTGGTTAGGAATCCATCTTTGTGATGCAACTGGGCTGGTTGGAGCTTGGGATTATACTTGCATTGTATTGGTATATGTTAGCCTAGCAACCTGGAGCAGTTCAGGATTTAGCAGGCCAGTTGAGAAACTGGGAATTAAACTCTGATATGCATGCCAAAAGAAAGTAAAAGTCCAGGTTTGTCTGGCTTTAGCAGATTTTTTCTTTTATGGCCTTGCCATATATCTTGACATGATATAATAGGCTTAATGTTTTGTGGCGTTCATTATCTTCAAGTAAGTATTTTGTGGCGATCAGTAAGTTTTCTACATTTAAAATGGGAACTAGCTTTTTTTGTGGCGTTTATTATCGTCCAATGAGTATTTTGTGGCGATCATTGGGTCTCTTGTTCGTCGTGCATATACCTAGAAATATATGAGACATCACATAGCCGCTGTCCTATGTAGAAATGAAGGAAATATGCCCTAGAGGCAATAATAAAGTTATTATTTATTTCCTTATATCATGATAAATGTTTATTATTCATGCTAGAATTGTATTAACCGGAAACATAATACATGTGTGAATACATAGACCAACAGAGTGTCACTAGTATGCCTCTACTAGACTAGCTTGTTAATCAAAGATGGTTATGTTTCCTAACCATGAACAAAGAGTTGTTATTTGATTAACGAGGTCACATCATTAGTTGAATGATCTGATTGACATGACCCATTCCATTAGCTTAGCACCCGATCGTTTAGTATGTTGCTATTGCTTTCTTCATGACTTATACATGTTCCTATAACTATGAGATTATGCAACTCCCGTTTACCGGAGGAACACTTTGGGTACTACCAAACGTCACAACGTAACTGGGTGATTATAAAGGAGTACTACAGGTGTCTCCAATGGTAGATGTTTGGTTGGCGTATTTCGAGATTAGGGTTTGTCACTCCGATTGTCGGAGAGGTATCTCTGGGCCCTCTCGGTAATGCACATCACATAAGCCTTGCAAGCACTGCAACTAATATGTTAGTTGTGAGATGATGTATTACGGAACGAGTAAAGAGACTTGCCGGTAACGCGATTGAACTAGGTATTGGATACCGACGATCGAATCTCGGGCAAGTAACATACCGATGACAAAGGGAACAACGTATGTTGTTATGCGGTCTGACCGATAAAGATCTTCGTAGAATATGTAGGAGCCAATATGGGCATCCAGGTCCCGCTGTTGGTTATTGACCGGAGACGTGTCTCGGTCATGTCTACATTGTTCTCGAACCGTAGGGTCCGCACGCTTAACGTTACGATGACAGTTATTATGAGTTTATGCATTTTGATGTACCGAAGGTTGTTCGGAGTCCCAGATGAGATCACGGACATGACGAGGAGTCTCGAAATGATCGAGACGTAAAGATTGATATATTGGAAGCCTATGTTTGGACATAGGAAGTGTTCCGGGTGAAATCGGGATTTTACCGGAATACCGGGAGGGTTACCGGAACCCCCCGGGAGACTAATGGGCCTATTGGGCCTTAGCGGAAAAAGAGAAAAGGGACAAGCCCATGGCTGGCCGGCGCCCCCCCCCTTTCCCCAAGTCCTAGTAGGACTAGGATAGGGGGCCGGCCCCCCTTCTCTCTCTTTTCCCCCCGGGAGTCCTAATTGGATTAGGATTTGGGGGAGGAGTCCTACTCCCGGTGGGAGTAGGACTCCCCTGCGCCTCCTCTCCCTGGCCGGCCGGCTCCCCCTCCTCTAACCTTTATATACGGGGGCAGGGGGCACCCCAAGACACACAAGTTGATCCTTGAGATCGTTCCTTAGCCGTGTGCGGTGCCCCCTGCCACCAAATTCCACCTCGATCGTACCGTTGTAGTGCTTAGGCGAAGCCCTGCGTCGGTAGTACATCAAGATCGTCATCGCGCCGTCGTGCTGACGGAACTCTTCCTCGACGCTTTGCTGGATCGGAGCCCGAGGAACGTCATCGAGCTGAACGTGTGCTAAGAACTCGGAGGTGCCGGAGTAACGGTGCTTGGATCGGTCGGATCGGGAAGAAGACGTACGACTACTTCCTCTACGTTGTGTGATCGCTTCCGCAGTCGGTCTGCGTTGGTACGTAGACAACACTCTCCCCTCTCGTTGCTGTGCATCACCATGATCTTGCGTGTGCGTAGGAAATTTTTTGAAATTACTGCGTTCCCCAACAGTAATTGTTAAGAAGCATATTGGTTCTGGCAATATTATATCACTAACGCCCTCTGTGCTAGTAGACAACTGAGCTAGATGAAATTAGCAATATATTGGTCTCAAGTGTGCGTGGTTCGGAATTCATCTTTGTGATGCAACTGGGCTGTTTGGAGCTTGGATTATACTTCTATTTTAATTGTACATGTTAGCCTAGCAACCTGGAGCAGTTCAAGATTGAGAAGGGTGAGAAGAAAGTAAAAGTCCATGTTTTTCTGGTTTTACAAAACCATCTTATCCAGCATGGGCTGATTGTGTTGGTATCTATTTTACAGCCGACCAGGTTATCCAGTTAAAGGCTATGTGAGCTATGTTCAAATATCATTGAAGTGATATATGCTTATTAAGCTGCATCATTGGATTCATCGAGGCAAGAGCACAGAGAAGAAACATGTGTGCCCTATGTACTGGCAACGCAGTTGGTTCAAACTAAACTACAGATCTCGACTGGGGAATACCAAAGCAGCGTGTGGCAACTTAGCAAGCCGGGCTTAATAGATGTGCTAGACTCGTTGGTTCAGACGAAGAATCTAAACTGTCTTCAGTTAGAACTTGCAACATTGTGTTACACCTTCGGTAGAGCTCTTAAGATGCAGCTCTAGTGATCTAGCCAGGGAATGAAACACTAAACGATCACACTGTTTATCTATTGAAATTGTTGTTGCAGAACGGAGATGCCATGCAGCAGTGCAGCACACATGCACGAGATTTTGCTTTTCTGGAAACATCATAAGCAGGGGACTCCTACCCTTGGTAAAATATTATGTACTCTTTCCACCATAAAGTGTGCTAATGTGAATAACCTGACAGAAATGCAGGTTTCCGATGCAAAATTCTTGAGAATCAAATTAGCTAGGTAAGCGATAATCTGTTTTTGGATTCCTACGTTCCCCATTCTTAGTATGCTGTGCTGCAGCCCGGAGCGGTGGAGCCAATCGGTCCAATTCCAGATTCCACCAGATATTCCGTTGCTCCAACCATCGGATGCACTGATTATTAAAGAGTGAGTGATCATCGCCGACTCGGATGTTGGTTTTAATTTTATCTTTCTGCATCATCTTACTGAAATACCGTGGAGTTAAACACTGGCACATGCAAAGAATTTTAAATGTACATACTTGAAATTTCTCCGAGCAATCTTGTGACATATCTACAGTATGCGCACTTCCAAACTTGCAATTTTCTGACAGACAAATTTTAGCAATATTTGATGTTGTAGATTTAAGTATATTTTTTACATGCTTTGTTAAACAAACTTAGAGCATTTTGACTCAGAACTTCAATCATAATTTGGAACGGGGAGAATAATTAAGACTCAATTCCTTGGCCTATATATAAACCTCACGGAGCGTTCGACATGGAGCTTTTCAAGAGCTTTGCTACATATACAAGATGTTACAGGCATGAGGGGTTTACAGGGTGTTGTGGCGGTTTTTAATTGGTCATTAGTAGAGGCACGGGCTCACCTCCATTGAAATCAGGGGATGTGTTTAGAAAGTTTGGAAGGAGCCTATAGAAACCTGTAAAAATCTGTACGTCTAGCATTTTTGGCTTTTCAACTAGTAGTATGTATATATATAGGGGTCCCAAGCACCGGGGGTGCTGCAAATGCATGGTTGCAATTGGCCTAGGTAATCAGTAATCACTCATCAAACATTCACACGTGATGGAGCTCCCATGGCTTCTCCTTCCCACAGCTATTCTCCTTACTCTCGTTTTATTCCTCCTCCCAATTGCATGGAACCGCCGCCGCTTACCGCCGGGGCCGGCCGGCCTGCCTTGGCTTGGAAACTTGCTATATTTACAGTACTTTGACGAAGACTCCATGGACATCCTGAACGCTGAGAGGCGCCTCCATGCGCGCTACGGCCCGGTTCTCGGCCTCCAGGTGGGCAACCGCTTGCAGGTTAGAGTGGCAGACCGCTACCTCGCCCACACTGCGCTGGTCGGCCACGGCACCGCCCTGGCAGACCGGCCGGACTACGCCGTGCGCAACTTCGGTGGCCTGAACGCCGTCACCATCACGTCCGCCAACTACGGCCCACTCTGGCGGCTCTTCCGCAGAAACTTCGTGGCTGAGATCGCGCACCCGGCCAGGCTCCGGCTGTTCGCGCCGCTGCGGGCGTCCGTGCTTGCTAACATGACGGACAAGCTATGGCGCTAGCAGCAGGAAGCAGGAAACACGGGCGTCGTCGTCAGGGACACCTTTCTGCTCGCCATGTTCCACCTCTTGGTGGCCATGTGCTTCGGCGAGCGGGTTGACGATGGCGTTGTGCACGAGATTATCTCTGCGCTGCGTGAGCTCATGATCTACTCCTTGACCAAGCTGAGGGTCTTCGACTACCTCCCGGCGGTCACGACGCGCCTCTTCCGCGGCCGACTGGATGCCATGCACGCTATGCGCAGCAAGCTCAAGGAGATGTACCTGCCCTTGATCGACGCCCGGAGGGAGCGCAAGAAGCTGCTTGCGAGCAGCCAACCGCCGTCTCCTCAGAATCAGAAGGAGACGACGACGTTGCCGCACTGCTACGTGGACTCGTTGCTCGACCTCAGGCTCGACTCCGACAGCGGCCGCCCTCTCACCGACGACGAGGTACTTGCCATGTGCTCCGAGCTGCTGATACAAGGGACGGACACCACAGCCACGGCGCTAGAGTGGATCATGGCCCAGCTGGTGAAGAATCAGCACGTCCAGGACAAGCTCTTCGATGAGATCTCAATTGGTACAGGTCCCGACGATCTACACCGGCCAGAGGGCCTGCACAAGATGCAGTACCTCCGGGCGGTGGTGCTTGAGGGCCTCCGGCGCCACCCACCCGGGCACCAGGTGGTGATGCACGCTGCGGCTGAGGACATGGAGATCGGTGGGTGCCTGATCCCCAGGGGCACGCCAGTGAACTTCATGGTGGCCGACATGGCCATGGATGAGAAGACTTGGGACCAGCCACGAGAGTTCCTACCGGAGCGGTTCCTCGCGGGAGGCGACGGCGATGGGGTTGACATCACCGGCACCAAGGAGATCAAGATGATGCCATTCGGAGCCGGGCGGAGGATCTGTCCGGGGCTAGGCGTCGCCACCATGCACCTCGAGTACTTAGTGGAGAGCCTAGTGCGTGCGTTCGACTGGCAGGCGGCAGAAGGGGAGGTGGTGGACGTCGTCTCTGAGGAGGCCCAGTTCACCGTCGTCATGAAGAAACCGCTCTGTGTTCGCCTCGTGCACAGAGCGGCCATTTAAGTTCAACCGTTCAACTGAGAACAACATTAATTGAGGCTGCAGTATGCAAAGCTGTTTAGTTTGCACGTCCGTCATTACGCATGTAATAGCATTGTGTAGTACCTTCTTTTTTTAGTTTGGGTTGCTTACCATGTACTTCCTCGGTCTCATCTTAATTATCGCTCAAACAGATAAGTATTTAACTCATTTCAGCTACAACTATACTAATGTAAGACGGAGGGAGCACCATGTGGTGTAGTATTGCGTGTACTTAAAAGCTTATTGTACGCCCAACCACATATACACATATCGTATCGTTTAGATACAGACCTACCTAGTGTACATCTCCGCGACGCAACATCCATCATTATGTTTTTTTCTTTCGAAAAGGGAACAGCCATCATTATGTACCCTATCATCTTTCATCTAGCCGGAACTTCTTCCCGGCTATGAGGAACGCTCTTGCAATTTTCACATCAATCTCAGGCCTTCTCCTATCCTTCTCAGTCTTCTGACATACACCACATAGTGATGTTCTGCATCCGACAAACTACCTAATTACCATATAAATCTCATGCCTTCTACAATCCTTCTCGGCCTTCTCGTGTACACCATATAGTGATGTTCTGCATTCGACAAAGTATCTAACCACATCAATCTCAGGCCTTCTCCAATCCTTCTCAGTCTTCTCGCGTACACCACAATCCATATAGTGATGTTCTGCATCCGACAAACCATCTAACCACATCAATGGGAAGAGCTGTTCAGGCGTCATTATCACTTTAGGCTTATCGTAATTCGCATCATCCTCGTGTCCTAACTTGTCTCTTCTTGTATCAATTCCATGGGCACAAATGCTTGAACAACAGGCCGTGTGCTTCAGTTGACATGTTGGCCTTGAGAAACTATGTCCGCCCCATGAGCATTTGTGCCAACCGCAATTTATTTTCAAGGAAATCAAATTTTTTTTGTTTAAAAGCCAAGGGTGGGGGTGCGGGGGGCAAGTTGAACAATCCTGCCATACACACATAATAAACTCAATTTTTTTTAAATCCTGCCAAATTTTATGTCTTCCATTTTACATAATTAATTTTAACAATCCTCACAACTTCAAAGTAATGTTTGTGGAAAGTCACTTTAACCATCCTGGCAACTAAAAAACTTTTGTTTTAGTGTACTTCAATAAGTTTATTTAGTTAGAAGTCACTTTAACAATCCCGGTAACTTAATTTCTTTGTTTTAGTTTACTTTATTATTTTCCCTTGGTTGGCAAGTCACTTCAACATTCGTGGCATTGTTCTACAGGGCAGTACTTAAACTTCAAAAACTGTGGCAACTCAGTGTAATGATTGTGGTAAGTCGCTTTTAACAATCCTAAAAACTCAAAACTTTTGTTTTACTTCTCATTCATTAAGTTTTCTTCATTTGGCAAGTCACTTTAACAATCATGGAAACTTGATATAAATATTCTAGGAAGTCTCATAACAATCTTGGCAACTCGAAAAATTATGTGCAATTTACATGATTAAGTTTTCTTGGACTAGCAAGTCATTTGAACAATCTGGGGAAGTGAGTATAATGGTTGTGGCAACCTAAAGGCCATGTGATGTGATTTTGGAAACAGAGACATATGGGATGCGAGAAACATCGGGACCATAGGTTGCATGTTGGATCCACCTTCCTGCAAGGTAGGAACTGTGACCCGTTTGGACTCCTGGACTTGTAGCAACATATATAGTTGGAGCCATGCAATTAGCATAGTGATTCTCTAAGATTTTAAGTGTTTCTATTTTTTCATAGAGGGGTGACCAAGGACATAAACACAAGGGAGTAGCTCAATCATTATCCATACACGAGGCCGATGTCTTCGGATGTCCCCGGCCATGACTTTTGAGTCTGGAAAAGTAACTTCCAGATTGCTTTATGCGTCATACCGAAGAATTGTGTTAGGATCTGTGGCCCTTCCGGATTGAACTCCCACATGCAGAGAGGCCGGCGTTGGTAGGGAAGGGACCGGCGGATGAGCATCACCTGGATCACATCTGTGAGGCCGGTGTTCTTCTCTATGATATTTTTGATGCGCTTCTTCAGCATCAGCACCTCGTCAGATGATCCCCAATCCAGACCCTTGTTGGTCCAGGACGCAAGCCGCAGCGGGGGTCCGGATCTAAATGCAGGGGCGGCCGCCCACTTGGTGTCGCGGGGCTCAGTAATGTAAAACCACTCTTGCTGCCTTATCTTGACGGTATCAACAAAGGCCCCTTTGGGCCAGATAACTTTGGGAAGCTTGCTTATTAGCACCTCCACAATCCGCGTGTTGCCCGTCGACCACCTTCGACTTCACGTTGAAAATCTTGAGCCACAGGCTGAAGTGTGGGGGGGATGCGGAGAAATGCCTCACACATGACGATAGACGCCGAGATGTGGAGGAAGGAATTCGGGGCCAGATCGTGAAAATCCAAACCGTAATAGAAAATGAGACCTCGAACAAAGGGGTGTAGGGGAAACCCTAGTCCGCGGAGAAAGTGAGGAAGGAATACCACCCTCTCACTGGGTTCTGGAGAGGGGATAACTTGCTCCTTGGCAGGGAGTCTATGTCTGATCTCCGCTGTCAAATACCTCGCTTCCCTAAGCTCTTTGATGTCCTTCTCCGTCAAGGAGGAGGCCGTCCACTTGCCTTACAAGCCGTATCCGGACATAGCTGGAGTCGTTGGTGGTGAGGGGAAAGCTTGAAACTTGGGCGTTGGAGCTCGAGGGCAGGTGGGCTGAGGAAGGAGATGGCGCGGGGTAAAAGGGCGGGTCCTTATCTCTTTATAAAGGCAGTGAATATCAAGCATCCCCCCCCCCCCACGAGCCTTAAAACTCGCTTATTCCCAAGGGGTCGTGCAAACGGCACGGTTGGATTACCCAAACCCGTATTGATGAGAATCCCCTAATAAGGGGACACGATTCTTGCTTTGACAAGACGTGTCAATGAATACCGCGCCTCGAAACGCGAAGCGGGAGGCTGAAAACCGGTTCGAAACAATAATAAGGCCAGAACATAACGTCTCACCGAAAAAGCAGTCAGAAGACATGGTTTGTTTTGTTTAAGTATTTTGCCCTTGTGTTTCAGGGTTGTGATTATTATGTAGAGCCGGATATAGTTCTTCTATTCAACTACTTTGGAGTATTTGGAGGAGGAACTCGCCCTGCAATGCCGAAGACAATCTGCGCGCCGAACACATCGTCATTGAAGCCTGGTTCAGGGGCTACTGAGGGAGTTCTGGATTAGGGGGTCCCCGGGCGTCCTGGCTATGTGACATGGGCCGGACTGATGGGCTATGAAGATACAAGATAGAAGGCCTCCCCCCGTATCCGGATGGGACTCTCCTTTCCGTGGATGGCAAGCTTGGCGTTTGGATATGTAGATTTCTTTCTCTGTAAACCGACTCTGTACAACCCTAGGCCCGTCCGGTGTCTATATAAACTCGAGGGTTTAGTCCGTAGAGCCAGATCACAATCATACAGGCTAGACATCTAGGGCTTAGCCACAACGATCTCGAGGTAGATCAACTCTTGTAACAACTATATTCATCATAATCAATCAAGCAGGAAATAGGGTATTACCTCCGTTAAGAGGGCCCGAACCTGGGTAAACATCGTGTCCCCCGCCTCCTGTTAACTTCGATCCACAGACGCACAGTTCGGGACCCCCTACCCGAGATCGGCCGGTTTTGACACTGACACCCAGCCAACAAGACTTCGCGTCAATTGCCAATTTGTTTGCCAAGGAAATCAAACATTTTTGTTTAAAAGGCTGAGCCATGGGAGGGGTGAGGGGGCTAGTTACGTGAACAATTCTACCATCCACTCATGAAGCCCACTAACTTTTCTTCTTTGAGGTTTAAGTTTTTCTATTTTTTTCATAGAGCGGTGACCAAGGACATTAACAGGGGGTGGGGTAGCTCTTTTTTAATAAGTTGTGTAGCAGGAGAGAGGGATAGCACCACTAAAGTTTTGATTTACTTAAAGTAGATAAAGCCTAAAACTTGAGATCTGTGTGGCTGGAAACTAAATCTGACAAAACCATTACAAGTTCCTGTTTTTCGCGGTATAAAGTATGTACAGGTCTAATTCTGCGGGAACCCTATTACTTCTTCCGTTTGGAATTATTTGAAGCTCAAAAGGATGTATCTAGATGTAGTCCATTTGAGCGTCAACTAATTCCGGACGGAGGAAGTATTTGTTTTCTTGTCTATATTTACTAGTGCGTTTTTTTTGTGTGGGAGCAATTGTTTTTTAGGCAACTTACAATTATGTCGTCAGTATAGAGAAGGAACATTTACCTTTGGGAGTTCCTCCTTTTGCTTTTGGTATGGATTATGTACATATAATTGTGTGAGGAGGCCTATTTTTTTCTTTTCTTGTCCAGATTTACTAGTGTGTTTTGTGTGTGGGAGCAATTTTTTTTCATGCAACGTAAAATTTTGTTTTCCTCAAGACATAGAACCAGATATGGAACCCGAGGGATGGCGGAGGATAAAAAATAGGGACACAAGGTTTAGAGGGTTATCATTGTGGTGCAGCGTCTTCCTTTGATTCTGGCACACAAGGAACACCTATGCAATTTCCACATCAATCTCGTACATGCACCTCCTTTCTTTCTTGCGTACACCTCATAGTGTTGTTCTCCCTCCGATAATCTATCAAACATCATCAATGTGACTGATTGTTGAGGTGTCAATATCACTTTAGGATTTCCTTCATATGCATTGTCACCGTCGGCATCATGAGTGCGCTAACTTGCCTCTCCATCCATCAATTGTCTCTGCAGACATGCTTCACACATCTTGAACATCACACTGCGTGCCTTGATTGGCATCTTTGCCTTGGGAAACTATGTCCATCCCCACAAGACTTTGCATCAATTGCCAATTTGTTTCCCAAAGAAATCAAACATTTTATGCAAAACCCTGGGCCGTGGGAGGTAGGAGGGGCTATCGACGCATACAAAACCCAGTAAAAAAAATTCCATTGTGATTTAAGTTTTTCTAAAAAAATCATTTAGGGGTGACCAAGGACAATCATTATCCATACGCGAGGAAAAATGGAATTTTCCTACTGATTGATCAAGTTGTGTAGTAGGAGGAACGGATAGCTGCACTGAAGCTTAGATTTACTTAACTAGATAAAGCCGAAAAACCTGAGTGGTTGTGTGGCTCAAAACTAAATCACACAAAAGAGTTACAGGTTCCACTTTTCTCACGGTATGAATGATGTACGTGTAATTCTGCGGGAAACCTATTATTTACTTTCTTGTCTAGATTTACTAGTGCGTCTTTTTTCTTTGTGGGAGCAATTGTTTTCCAGGCAGCTTACAATTATGTCGCCAGTAGAGAGAAGGAACATTTACCATTAGAAGTTCCTCTTTTTTTTGGTCCTATGGAATATGCGCATTTAATTTTGCGACGAAGCCTATTATCTGTTTTGTTGTCCAGATTTACCAGTGTGCTTTCTATGTGTGGGAGCAAAAAAAAAAATCATGCAACTCAAAATTTTGTTGCCCTTCAAGACATAGAACCAGATATGGAACCTTGAGGGATGGGGGAGGATCAAAAAAGGAATGCGAGGTGTTGAGGGTTATCCTTGTGCTGCAGCTTCTTCTTTACTTTGCGATACACACGGAACTCTCTTGCAATTTCTACATCAATCTCGGACCCAGCGCTCCTCTCTTACTCGTGTACACCTCATAGTGTCATTCTCCATCCGATAAACTACCTAACCTCATTAATGGGATTGATTGTTGAGGCATCAATATCACTTTCGGATTGCCTTCCTATAAATTGTCGCCCTCAGCATCGTGAGTGTGTTAACTTGTCTCTCCTTCCACCAATTTTATTTGCACACATGCTTCACACATTGTAACATTACGTCGCGTGCTTCGATCGGCATCCTGCCCTTGAGGAACTATGTCCACCACACAAGACTTTGCGTCAATTGCCAATTTGCTTCCCAAGGAAATCAAACATTTAAAAAAATCCCGGGCTGTGGGCAGGGGGAAGGAGTCTAGTTAAGTGAACGATCCCGCCATCCACACATGCAAACCCAGTAACTTTTTCTTTCAAGAATCCGGCAAGTTCTATGTTTTCCATTTTATATCATCGTCTTTTAACAATAGTGGCAACCTTCGAGTAATATTTGTGGAAGATCACTTTAAGTCCTGGAAACTCTTTTTTTTTTGCTTCACTGTTTTCTTTAGTTGTGAATTCACTTTCTTTTAATTTAAAAAAATAGAAATTCAAGTGTTTTGTGGAATCAAGCATTTTTTATTGGATAGATCATATAGCTGGTTAATATCATTGACATAGAATTAGTAATTTCTTGGTTGAATTAGAGGTATCTCCATGCTATTATTATTTACGCGAAAATCCTATCAATACCCATCTATATCCCTACTATATGATGTATCTATTACTGTATTTCATTATATTTTTTATAAAGGACGATTTTATTAACTGTAGCATCAAGTGGATACAAAGTATTATGAGTAACACTCGACCTCTACATAACTAGTATGCACACTGCAAACACCAAAAGTCTGACAACCAAAAAAAATAAAAACTGATAAATCGGAAAAGGTAGTCCTATAGACCGATAGTATGCCTATGTCAAAAGGCGAGGTAGATTGATCCGGAGATTACGCTGCCATCCATGTTGGGTAAAAACATCTGTAGCCCCCTGCTCCAACCGCATACACACCGCCTTGAACGGTGGTTGGAGCTCCGTTTATTGTAGCATAGACCACCTACGAAGCGACTATGTACAACAGAAAATAACCTGCGGACAAGAAGCATTTTAATCATTAAATATAAAAGTCATTTCTACATACACCAAGCAACGCGTACACTCCCACCCTTAATAGTGTTTTGAAACTATTTGGAATACTGTCCAACCCTACATGGACACGAGCCCGCACTGCATGGTTTCAACTACCAGCACCACCCCTCCATTGTGGCTAGCACTTTTTCCACTAGTATAGGTTTTCATGTTCTACTAGAGTGTTTAATTACCCATGTTTGTGTTGTGAGACTATGTTTAAGTATGGTGAGGCTATGTTTGTGCTGAATGTGTTATGTTTCAGGTTAAAATTCAAACTATATTATGGATAAAATATGGTACGTTGGGGTACAACAAAATTTGCGGACAACTGGTAGATATCCCGAACACTTCCGTCCGAGTCCACAAACTTTTAGGGAAGCCGATTCGATGCATCTAGTTGAAGATGCTCTTATATACTAGCTAAATAAAGCTTTTTTGATACTACTATTTCCCATGACACTAGTAGCTTCAAACTCTGTGGATGCCTTGCCCAAATGCATTTATTATAGTGAGTTAATGATGATCTTAAAATTAATGCAATCAACACATTTGTTTTGTATAACAGCAACGGCCGGTTACTGGTGAGGCAAAATGGACGAGTAGTCTCTTCTTTTAAAATATAATAAGGTGTCTTATTATTATTATTATTATTATTATTATTATTATTATTATTGTTATTATTATTATTATTATTCAAACATAAAATAATTATATGTTTGCTCATTTTTCAGAAATTTTCCTTATCTACAACACCGATGTGTAATGCCAATACATGTATTTGTAATGTATTTAATGTTGTATTTATTTTTTATTTTAGATGGTGATATTTTTCCTATAAACTTAATTAAATATAGGAATGTTTGACATTTAAAAGAACCAATACGCCCTATATTCCACTTGTATTTTGAAAAGCGGATGATCTCAAGTCACAACAAGCTCGTCTATATAATACCACTAGCCAGATAGACATAACAATACAGCTTATGACCATTACACTACAACTGCTCACGTACACGCTCATTATTTGCCAACATGTCTTTGGTGGCACGTCGGAGAAAACCTGAGCTTGTGCTACCGGCACGAGCAACGCCGCGGGAGACTCTGCCTCTCTCCGACATTGACGACCACAAAGAACTGCGGTACCTGCAGCCTGCCGTCGAGTTCTTCCGCGCCGTCGATGGCCATGGGTGGCCTGCCAAGGCAGTTGTCAGGGCGGCCCTCGCGGAGGCGCTGGTGCACTACTACCCACTCGCAGGCCGTCTCCGGGAGGCTTCCGGGGGAAGGCTAGTCGTCGAGTGCACCGGGGAAGGTGTCGTGTTGGTGGAGGCGGAGTCGGATGTGTCCTTGGATGAGCTCGGCGAGCCTCCGCTGCTAGCATGCCCGTTCGTGGAAGAACTGTTGTGCGACGTGGGCGACGCCAGGGTTGTCATCGGAGTTCCCATGTTTTTCATGCAGGTAGCCTTAAACTGTATGTGTAATGTTTTTACAGGAGCTCGCCATGAGAATTGTGACTGCGGCTAGCATGTCGATAGAGAGAGAGAAAAGTTACTATGCTTCCCTTGTTTGTTTTAAAGCCATCTCTTTACATTATTAATAACTTTCTTTTATTTCTGGGTAAATGTGAGTAGCTAACCCAACTCAGAAGCGGAGGATTCGTGATTGGTCTTCACATATGCCACAACATCGCCGACGGCTATGGCAGCACCCAATTCCTGAAATGCATCGCCGACTTGGCACGTACTGGAGGTGACGCCTCCCAAATTATATCACCGGTGTGGAACAGGGAGCTCCTGACAGCACGTATCCCGCCGCACATAAACCCGGCCTACGAGGAATTCCTCCAACGATTAGGCAGCACCACAGACGACATCATGCTGTCAACACCGCCGGAAGAAATGTCCGGCCGCTTCTTCCTCTTCGGCCCAGGGGACATGGCATCGCTACGAAGGCATGCCCCCGTGCACCTAACACCGCCGGTCACCAGCTTCGAGCTTCTGACTGCGGTCATGTGGCGTTGCCGCACAGTGGCGCTCGGCTACGAGCTCCACCAGCGGGTGCGCCTGATGTTTTCTCTAAATGCGCGTGGGAGGTGGAAGCGTCATGCGCTCGTCCCACATGGGTTCTACGGGAATGCGCTCTTCTACCCTGCAGTAGACACGACCGCCGAAGAACTGTGCTTCAACCCACTTGGCTATGCGCTCGGACTCGTCCGTGAGGCCAAGCGTGACATGACAGACGACAACTTGGAGTCGATGGTGGATTTCATGGCGTCAATGCGTGGGCGGCCACCTCTCACCATGGACAGAATGTACGAGATCTCTGACATCAAATGGGTTGGACAGGACGCGCTAGACTTCGGATGGGCGAAGCGGGTTGACGGCGGCGTGCCGATGGTTGGGGACATCGCCTCCAAGTCCGTGAGCTACCACATGAGGTGTAGGAATGGAAAGGGTCATGACATGATCGCGGTATCCATGCTATTGCCAGGACATGCAATGGACAAGTTCGAGAAGGAGATTGCTGTTTGGGTTAACAACGAGAACTAGTCCAGCTCCATTCGTTGTAAAATAAACCCCGGGGTGCACATGTGCTTTACCGTGTTGTTTTCATGTTTTGGGTGTGGGCGTGTAATCATTTACATGAGGCTGTCGTAAGTCTAAAAACTTCTAAGTAAAGTGCCTCACAGAATAAAAAAAGATCTAAATAAAGTGTGGTGGTCTGCAATCATTTGCACTTGCTTTTGGGCATCTCCAACTCCTTGTTTGCACACTTTTTTCTAATAATAATCTCTGTCGACCTCTATTTGCCTAGATACATCTCCACCAATGTCTCTGCTTCGTATAACAATAAATCTTACTTAGTCCTATGTACTCCCTCCGTCCGAAAAAACTTATCATCCAAATGGACAAAAAGGGGTGTATCTAGACAAAAAGGGGTGTATCTAGAACTAAAATACATCTAGATACATCCCCTTTGATTCATTTGGATGACAAGTATTTTCGGACGGAGGGAGTAGAAAACTACCAATAGCTATCATTTATTGTTATATAACTTCCACATAGAGACAAATGAGGTCATGATGCGAGAAGAATTGACGACCAAGATGGTGAAGATCGATACCAATCTTGACCCAAAACTCAAGATCGCATTGGAGAGAACCTTGTATGTTAATGGGTAGGATGTGGCTAGGTCTCAGTCGACTGAGACTTAACCAAGTCTAAGTCAGGTGATATAGTATGTAAGAAGAGAAAGAAAAACTGAAAAGAATTTTTTTACACGAATCTTCATGCAAAATTAAAGGAAGATACTATCGACTGAGACATAACGAAGTCTAAGTCGACTGAGACTTAGCAAAGCTGTAATGGGTATGTATCAAAAACCGTAAGGACTGGCACCAGAGTCGAATTGATAGAAACGAGAAAAAATGGTACTCCCACCGATCCATATTACCTGTTGCATCTTTAGTACAGTGTAATAAAGATGTGACAAGCAATATGGATAGGAGGGAGTACTAAATTTGGTCAGAAACACTAAAAAGATGAAATTAGATTGGGTAGTTTAATTTCTACCCTCTTGGATGCCCAAAAGGACCGAAGAAACCGAGAAAAACCAATAACACGCAACCTCAATGCATTAGTCCCACAACCCACTACTCAACTTAGACACATCCATTCACGCCTTTACGAGGTTTCCCTCGCCTTCCCTCCTGCTTGAGGCATCGTAAGATCAAAGCATACGACAGCCAGATGCTCCACCACTTCATCTTCATCCCGGTGGCTAGTACTGGAGTTGTCGCATATCCCCCCTCTTCCTCTTACTTCTCACCCACAACGATCATATTTTAGAAGACCATTCGGTCATCATTTTTTGAAAACTGAATATCTTACTATTAGATTGAAGAATTGAACTGATCGGCTCCCTCTACCAAATGCCTAGGCCTACATTCTTAACTCATACTACTCCATTTTCATTTGCTTTGCATATTAGTTATTAGTTTTTTTCCTCAAATCAAACGTTGTTAACCGTGACCAAGATTATAGACATACCAAATTGATACTTGAATATTATATATACATATATATATATAGGAAATGTTCATTTTTTTTTCTATAAACTCCATGAAACTTTATATAAATTCCAGGCGTTGAAAAAGATAATACAGATAGTAAATAAAAAAGATAATCTATTAATAACTCTATAAAAGAAAGAGAGGGCGGGGAACCAAATAATCTGCACCGTACAGAGGGCTAAATCCTACGTTCCATATACTCCTGTGTTTGAGCACCAACCATGTTTAGTCGCACGTAATCAGGCCACAACAAGCCACGCAATCAGGCCACTAACCCTCCCGACCTCTCCAAAAAAAAAACTGCGCACAGCTCCACGCCCGCACGACCTTTCGCCCGCTTCTCCTCCTCCCAACCGACGCCCGCGCCGATCCTCCGCCGCCTCCCGCGCCGGCCTCCTCGCTGCCCACCGCGCCGGCCGCCGGTCCTCCTCTGCTGCCCCAAGAACGCCGCCGGCCGCCGGTCTGCCACCGCTGCCCCAAGAACGACGCCGCCTAGACCGCATGGCCCTGGCCGTCGGGGACGCCGTCTAGACCGCCTGGCCTGCCGTCGGGCCACATGACTGCATGTCCCATAGCTATTAGATCTGGGCCACACATGAGAGTCACCTTGGCGGACTGGCGACGGCGTAGTGCCGAGGAGGGAAGGAGGCACAGGGCAGCACGTCACCGCATCATGGTGCACAAATGGCCTGCAAGGTGATTGCCCAGGACGTACTAGCCAGTGTTGTCACCGGGGACATGTACGCACGTGCAAACCACCGTTACCTCAGGTCCATCCATTACTTGTCTGGTTTTGAGTAAGTATGAAATTCCGTCTCTCTCGATAGATACGAACATCTATTTTCAGGATATTTTATTCGGAGTTCGTGGTTAATTCAGGGGGCCTCTGTTTGTCAGGTTAATATACAGAAACATCAAATGCAACAAAATTTCTTCTCTAATTTTGTAGGATATCAAGGCTTAATAGATCATGTGCTGTTGTCGCAACTTTTGAAACCATCGTCCTATCTTTTTGGTCTATCTACCAACGTCATGGAACTGGGCCCATAGATGTATACCTATATTGTTCAGAAATTTGTCTCAGTACTGAGATAGTAAGATGTAAATCTAGCTAGCTTATCTAGCTCCCAAGTGCCGTTGCACTGTTTCAGGTTGCCATACGTCTTACACATTGCCTATTTGACATATAAACAAGAGATTGCACCCCCTCCCGGACCTTGTAACATAGTTTCAGTTTAGTACTTTTGGTTATCTTAACCTTCTTGGTTGCAATGTGATCTCTATTAATCACATTATGTACGCATAAGACTACTTCCGATTTCGACCAATCCTCTAATGGCCACTGGTTTGTTCCAGTACATATAATGGCAAATATAGAAGTGTGCTTTACAAAACTTTGTCACCATATGAATCATGGTACATGCACACATGTTTGTCTTGGCATTGCAGAGATGGTGAAGCCCGGCAAAATGGTTGTTCCCAGATATATAGAAGTGTGCCTTACCAAACTTTAGGCACCATATGAATCATGGTACATGCAAGTACATGCTTGTCTTGGCACTGCAGAGATGGTGAAGCTCAACAAAATGGTTGTTCCTAGATGTCTCGATGATAGCTGCATGAAATTGGCAGGCAACTTTATGAGTTCAAAAATCCCTTGAGGTACCATTGAACTGTTATTCTTGAGCTAATACTTTGTCCCATGTCAATTTTTTAATTTTTAACTCTTATCTGCCTTCCAGATCTAGGATGGTCTATGTTTATCCTTTTCAAATTTGCATAAAGGTGGAAACATGGTGGACATAATATCAACTCCCTATGTCCCAAAATAAGTATCTCAACTTTAGTACAATTTTATTACAAAAATTAGTACAAAGTTGGAACACTTATTTTAGAACGGAGGGAGTATTCATTTAAGTTCTTGTACAACATTTTTTGTCATGGAGCTTACCTTTGAGATTTCCATTGGACATTTTTACTATAACACCTGGTTCAAGCATATTTTGTGGAGTTCTCATTGCTTTTATGTTTTCCTAGGAAACTTAATTTATTAATTTCGATTCAACAAATATGTGATGAGTTGTTACTTGATAGCAGCTACATGGCTATCAAATAAAAAAAGAACCATCTATTTACAAGGCACAATGTAATACAATTGGGCATTTTGATGTGGCTTTGATCTCCGCAAGTGCATGTTGATTGTTGTGCTTGGGTCAAGGTATGTCTTTCATGCCTAGCTCCGGCAATTTAGTGTTTTTTTTGTGTGTCTAATTTGAGTTTGTGGGATGGTAATTCCAAAATTTGGCACCTCCATTTTCCTGATTATCTAATTATTCAAAATGTGGTTATCTACTGGAAAGTGTCGTCTATTAACAGCATACTGATTCTCCTGTTTTAGTGCTGATAAGGTATAAATTTTAGGCATTCGCACTCTGCTTGTTACTATTCTCATGGAGGATCCACATCAACTGCAGTTCTTCCATTGTGCAAACAACCTCAGGTATGCAAAGACAGGTTTCTTTTGCTTTTCCTGTCACATTGCCAGCATGACTGAATTTTGCAATGCACTTGGCTGGACCTGTCTACTGCCTTCATCCATTTGACAACTTCTAATCTGCAAAAAAGTTCCCCAAGATAATTTATTGTTGGCCTGATATAATCAGGTTGTTGTCTGGATCATATGGACAGTCAGAACAGTAACACTGCAGTTATTTGTTTTCCATCATGTAAGTTCCCCTACATTTGATTTTTGATTTTTGTTCAGACACTACAGTAAAACCGCAATCAGACCCTCCAGTGTGGACAGCCCTGCCGTCCGGTAGGTACGTGGCTCCCTCGTCGTCGTTGGAGACAGCTACAGCCGTGGTGGAGGAGGAGGCAGCGGCCAGGGTGCGCGCATTTTTTAGTTCCAAGGGTGTGTGTATAAATTTTTTGCTAAGTGATCAAACGGGCCAAATCACCTTATTAGTGCTTTCTTTACTGGGAATGCAGTGATTTTTGCAACGGATTACCGACTTGGTGGTTTTCTGCAAACCTAGCCGCAAATGTGATAATTTTCTACAATTAACTCAATAAAAGCAGAAGAATGCATCCCAAGAAAGCCTGATATACAAAGGTCTCCACAAGGTTTGCATAAGAAGGTAATGTCCCATCTTTAAATCGTCCAAGTTTGTGTGAAGGAGCCAACTGTCTTACTTACTGGATGTCTATAGCATGCATGTTTAATGTGAACCACAGAGTAATATGCGCGTATTACTCTGGCGCTGATGTATGTATTTACTTATAAGTACATGTTTGCTACAGCAGGGCAGGTTTGGCGTAGCATCATTAGTTTTTTTGTTGATATGCTAAAGGGTTGCCCTATGTAATTGGACTGTTTGGCGCCATGTTCACATGCAAGATTACTAGGAGCGCCCTGTGCAATTCCTCGACTGTTTGACACAGCGAGCGGTCGAACGGTAGGGCTCTCAGGGGGGAGGCATCACGGCCAGGAACATCTCCTTCATTTGGCCGCCACTTCCCTTCATCACCAGTGAACAACAGACACGGCACTACATCAATCACTCGCCTACCATATATTGACCACAGATGCCGGCGCTCCGCTCGACTACATCTCATGTTGTATATTTTCTCTGTTCATTTCCAGATCCTAATGTATAGGATGTAAATATGTTTAAATTCATAAATAATGTTCTGCCTACTGTTTGGGTTAGTAAAATATGTAACTAATTTAGCGGATGGTGTTATTTGATGCCATATTATTGGATTTTTCCTCTGGTGTTATGGATAATCTGATCTATAATTTGTATGATGTATAACCGTCAGTTCAGTAGATGATTCATTTATATTATTTCAAAGGTTTGGCAGTGAAGAGCCTGTTTTTCTTAATTTTTCTAAGAGGGGTTCAAGTTATGAACATGATTCACTGAAAATTGGCATAAGAATGACATGAATTTCTAAATATATGAATTTTACTTTCTAGGTCTATTTCTCTATGGTCATGCTTCTTAATTCGATTTTACCTTTTGTGGTTCAAACCAGACAAGAGCGTTATCCTTTGTGTTTAGCATGACTTCTTTTCTGGTAATTTTTATAGATATATCTGAATTTTAGTTGAGTAAACAAGTATGAGTAAAAATAAACTCAAACATGAAGCAAAAGCTTTGCTGTTTTGATTAAGCTTAACATTGTCCAGTTAATCATAGAATACGAAGCAAAAAACCGAAACAAATGGGCAAATCCACTTCAGAACACCGTAAACACATAGGACCACGTGTTGAATGCCACAACAAATGCCAATCACACAAACACACATTGGTTACATTGGTTGGGGAACTTACTTCGTCGAACAAGCCGGTCTTCCATCAATACTGGAAAGAAGTTACGAGGCACTCTCACGTGGCGACGAAGAGACAAGCATTCCACATGCCTGTAATAGTTGCAACCCATCATAGTTTTAAATAGCCAGCTATAGCCTTTTCAGCAGGATGCAGCTAAATGATCTCATGTACAAATAGCCCGCTATAACTGATTTGAAGGTCCACCGCTATTTAGCATAGGCCGCTATTTAAAACACACAATACCACTGCTCCAACACACCTTGTGCACTCAACTACTATCGCTTGTCGGGTCATCCTGACTTGCCATTGCAGAGACGTGCGTTGCACATGCAAGCTTACTAGTCTCTATTTCTAATGTCTCAGTTGGTAGTCTCCGTTCCGGGTTTATTTTCGTCCCACCACTTTTGTCCGGTTTTATTTCGCTTGTTTTTTTCGTCTCCCCTCCTCCCACCCCACGCATGCAGCCCAAAAAAAAAGACGCCGCGAAAAAAAACAAAGCCTATCGATCCCCTCGAGGACACAGCGCCTCCCTCGTGCGATCTTGAGGTCACAGCGCCGCCTCCCCTCGATCGCCAACTCCGACGTACGATCTTGCCGCCGCCGACCTCCCAGAGGAGACGTCGCTAGCGGACGTCCGGGGTCGCCGCCACGGACTTAAGGGATCAACGTCGTCGACCTCCCAGACGAGACGCCGCCGTCGCCGACCTCTGAGGGGAGACGCCGCCGCCACCTCCGCTAAACCCTAGGCACCCACCACCGTGCTCCCGCCGTCGGGTTCCGTCTGCGTTCGCCACCATGCGATCGACTTCCTCCCTCAGGTTCGTCTTCCCTCTTTTCTCTGGATCAAGACGGAGAGAATCAGATCCGGATAGAGAGACTGAGATGAGGATTGAGGCCATGGGATCCCTTGCTAAAATTGAGAGGGAGGGAGGGAGGGAAAGGGTATCCTTGTGCAGGGCTGTGCGGACCTCGTTCAGTTCATGATGCATTGCCTCGTTCAGTTTCTGCTATGTTCTTAAACCGTTCTTCTTTTCATGTACTAATGTATGTCCTGCTAGGAGTAGTACCACCGTAGTCTTCTTTCTCTGTACTCCAAAATCTGAAAGAGGATGTCAATTATGTGATTGGAAAGATACCACCTATATAAAAAGAAAAGTAACCAGTCGTCATCACTCCAAGGTATTCAAGTAAGGAAGCATGCGTTTGATGAGTTATGCAAGGCCATGCTGCCGTGTTTTGTGTTTTTTTTTCGAAAAGGGGGTTCTCCGGGCTCTGCGTCAGAACGATGCATACGGCCACATTTATAAATAAGAAAAATAGTTCTACAAGGTCTTGCAGTCTGCAACAAAATAAAAAGCTGGCTCACAAAGAGCTACAAAAGCAAAAAAAGGCCCAAACGCCACAACCGGCTGGCATAAGAGAGATAGGTAAACTAATCGCCTATCCTATTACATGACCGCCATATAAACCGGTTGAAGATATCCCGCGCTACCATTTCCCACCGGACAGATCCAGTAACCAAACGCTTCCTGGCCTCCGTCGGAGTGAGTAAGGACCACATACGGATTAGCGCAATAGCCCGGAATAAAACCTGCAAAAAATGAATAGTTGTTGTTCTGTTAAAAGCCAGATCATTTCTGCAGTTCCAAATTGCCCATAACAACGCACATACTCTTACGCGAATTTGTCTAGTTGTTTCGGGCTCTATCCCAACAAGCCACGTTCCAAATAACGACCTGACCGAATTCGGAGGAGTAATGTTAAATGCAATTTGCGCCGAGCGCCACAACACCCTCGCCAACGGGCAATCAAAGAAAAGGTGCTTGATAGTTTCATCCCGATCACAGAAACTACACTTAGTAGAGCCTGTCCAGTTGCGCTTAACCAAATTATCTTTAGTTAAGATGACTTATTTATGTACAAACCACAAAACACTTTGATTTTCAGAGGAATCTTAACTTTCCAAACATGTTTGGAACTAGGAATAACACTAGAATTGATGACATCAATGTATATCGACTTGACTGTGAATTCCCCAGATCTAGTAAGCTTCCAACACAACAGATCAGGCTGATGAGTAAGCTGAACCTCCAACAGTCTCCTCACCAGATGAAGCCAAGCTTCCCACCGGTCTCCAACAAACACCCTCCTAAACTGAATATTAAGGGGAGTGGACTGCAAACTCGTTGCAACCAGATCATCTCGTCGCTGCACAATACGATATAGCGACGGATACTGAAGTGCCAACGGCGTTTCTCCCAGCCAAGTATCCTCCCAGAAGCGAGTGTCATTGCCATCACCGACAATAAACTTTGTTCTATTAAAGAAAGTAGCTTTGACTCTCATTAGCCCTTTCCAGAACGGCGAATCAGTCGGTCTGACTGTCACCTGGGGCAAAGTCTTAGAGTGCAGATACTTGTTACGAAGAATATGCGCCCAAGTTGCCTCAATCTCAGCTGCTAACTTATATAGCCACTTACTGAGAAGGCATTTGTTCTTGACTTCAAAATTCTCAACCCCAAGACCCCCTTGGTCTTTTGGTCGACAGATGACGTCCCATTTGGCTAAACGGTATTTTCTCTTAAGTTCATCACTCTGCCAGAAGAAACGGGACCGATAGAAGTCCAGCCTTTTCCTAACTCCAACTGGTACCTCAAAAAAGGACAAAAGGAACATAGGCAGACTCGTGAGCACCGAATAAATGAGAATCAATCGGCCTCCATATGACATGAGTTTGCCCTTCCAGCAGCTCGGTTTCTTCTCAAACCGATCTTTGATACACTTCCATTCGCTGTTTGTCAACTTACGATGGTGAATGGGGATATCTAGGTAAGTGAACAGTAGTGCTCCCAATTCGCAACCAAACAATTGCTTGTATGCATCTTGTTCCTCTTTGGCTCTATCAAAACAGAACAACTCGCTTTTATGGAAGTTAATTTTCAGACCGGTCAATTGTTCGAAAAGGCACAACACCAGCTTCATATTTCTCGCTTTTGCCAAGTCGTGCTCCATAAAGATGATTGTATCATCGACGTACTGCAGGATGGACACACCACCATCAACTAGATGAGGCACCAAGCCACCTACTTGGCCGGCCTCCTTTGCCCTACCTATCAAGATTGCCAACATGTCAACGTCAATGTTGAACAAAATAGGAGACATTGGATCACCTTGTCTCAGGCCCTTGTGTGTCTGGAAATAATGACCTATATCGTCATTCACTTTAATTCCAACACTCCCTTTTTGTGTGAAAGATTCAACTTGGCGTCTCCAAGCTTCATCAAAACCCTTCATACGTAGTGCCTGTTGAAGGAAAGGCCATTTGACTTTATCGTACGCTTTCTCGAAATCCACCTTGAAAACAACTCCATCAAGTTTTTTCGTGTGAATCTCATGAAGCGTTTCATGTAGGACCACAACCCCTTCGAGGATGTTCATGTCCATCATGAAAGCAGTTTGAGTAGGCTGCACCACAGTATGCACAATCTGTGTGAGCCTATTCGTCCCGACCTTGGTAAATTTTTTGAAACTAACATTAAGAAGACAGATAGGCCGGAATTGCTCAATCCGCACCGCCTCTGTCATCTTGGGAAGAAGGGTTATCGTTCCAAAATTCAGCTGAAAAAGGTGAAGCTGGCCAGAGAATAAATCATTGAACAACGGCAAGAGATCTCCTTTAATAATATGCCAACACTTCTTGTAGAACTCTGCCGGGAAACCATCCGGGCCAGGAACCTTATTATTCTTCATCTGGGAAATGGCCTCAAACACCTCTTTCTCAGAAAAAGGAGCAACTAAAATATCGTTCTCAACAGCCGTAAGTTGAGGCACATCCTCAATCCTAGACTAATCCAGCGACACACAGTTATCCTCTGGAGGCCCAAACAGCTGCTTGTAATACTCAGTAATATATAGCTTTAAGTTTTCCTGACCCAAAATCGTTCCCTCGTCTTGTTCAAGCTAAAAGATCCTCTTCTTTCTATCCTTACCATTGGCGATCATGTGAAAAAAATTGTGTGTTCGCGTCCCCCTGGACGACTCTTCTGACCTTAGCCCGAAGCGCCCACTTTAGTTCTTCCTCACGAAGGAGCTCTTTCAGCCTCATTTCCGCATCAAACTTGGCATGAAGCTCCAAGGCTGGCAAGCTCATGGTTTCGGCTTTTACATCAAGGGACTGAATAAGCGTAAGGAGCGGTTCCTTTTCAATCTTATAAATCCCACTGAGATGCTTAGCCCATCCACGAAGGAAACTTCTCAAATGCCTAATTTTATTCTGCCAGCGCTCAAGCGTAGTCCTACCTCCTGCATCTTTAGCCCATTCTCTGGCTACGAGATCGAAGAACCCTTCTCTCTCAAACCACGCAAGCTCGAAAGAAAAAACATTTTTATTTCCTAAATGGGTGGCCTCCCAAGAGTGCCTGGACTGTTACATATGGGAGTTTCTGCTCCCAATCAACGCTAGCCAAGACCCGATCCAGCTTTTCAAACGTCGGATTTGGAATGGCGTTAGCCCAGGTAAACTTTCTGCCCGAAAGCTCTATTTCACGCAGATCCAGGCTTTCAATGATTGTGTTAAACATGAACGACCATCTGCCGTCAAAATTGTCATTATTCTTCTCATCACGCCTTCTGATGATATTGAAATCACCCCCCACCAAGATAGGAAGTTGTTCTGAACCGCAAATCCTAGTCAGATCAGCCAAGAAATCCGGTTTAAGCTCGGGCTGTGCGGCACCATATACAGCCACCAAAGCCCAGTTAAACCAATCGGTCTTCGACCGCACCCTAAACTTAACAGCGAAATCTCCCATGACCACGCTTCGGACTTCTAACGAATCACATCTAACTCCGAGTAAAATCCCACCCGATCTTCCTCGCGGTGGTAGACAATGCCAATCAAAATCAATACCCCCCGAAAGAGTACTTAGAAATTGTGGCAAGAAGTTGGCTCTACCAGTTTCCTACAAAGCGATAAAGTCCAACTTATGCTCAATAGAAGCCTCGGCAAGAAACCTTCTTTTAGCCAAGTCTTTCAGACCTCTGCTATTCCAAAAGATTCCTTTCATATCTCGTCATGGAATTTTTTAGCCGTTCGTATCCGAGCGCTCCTATGCACTGCGGAATCTGGGTAGATCTTCCGCTTCCATTTGCGTTTAGGCATATTGAAACTCTCCATCTGGTCCTCACGACCAGTCGCAGAGATGCGCACTTCCACATTGTCCACTTGCTCATCCTCCTCCTCAGGCTCAGGAGACGGATGAGCAAGATCCGCGCAAAGATTATCGAGCACCCTGACCCCTAAAGCGTCGATATTGGAGTTATTCATGGGTTTGACCGCGGCTATGTTACGAATCATCTCAAGCGCCCGTTCGGCCTCTAAATCCAGCATATCATTAACCGAGGTTGAAATTTCACTATCATTACTACCTAGTGAAATTCCTAGCTGATTTGCATTATTGATAATCTCATCATTGGAAAATGCAAAATAGAATTAGAGGTATTGACCGACATACCAGTAGTGACCTCCACGTCATGAAGCTTGGCCGCCCTCATGGCGCACCGCTGCTGAATGTCGTCCACTTCCGGATGGTCCTGGAGACGGCTACTCAACTGTCGCCCCTCAGAGACCGGATCCGGAATACCACCGAACGCAATCACCTCTTCCCGAGTAGCTCTACTCGAGTGCACCAAGCCGGGGGAAGGTGGAATCTGGGCCTCCTGCCCGAGCTCCCCATCCACCACGGCCGAACGTCCAGCCAGTGTCACCGGCGCCGAAGGCGGGCAGGCCCCCCTAGGCACCCCAAGAGGAGAGGACCCCGAGGCCACCTACCCCGAGCCCTCTCCGGAAAGCGACGCCGGCGTCTGCACCGCCTGCCCGGCGATAGGGGAAGAAGGCTGCACCGTCTGGATCTCGACCTCCACAAGCCCCGATGAGAGCGTCGAGGCCACCTGCCCCACGCCCCCATCAGCAGATGGCACCGCCGGCTGCAACTGAGGTACCGCGACCGTATGGGAAGGATCCGAAATCACCATCTCCGGACCCCCGCCTGCGAGAACGACCTCCTCTGCCTCAGCCCTGACCGATGTCGGTAACGCCCCAAGATGAGGAACAACAGACTCCTCAAAATCCAGGACCGGTAGCGAGTGCTCGAATACCTCATCAGACTCCACCCGTTCACTCCAAAGTCTCGGGGCTGCAGATGCCGGCTCGAAAGACCCGAATCTGAGAGCCGTCGTAGGCACCATAGAAGGTGGTACCGTCCCATCCGCCGACGTCTGAGAGTCAGCACCCGGCGCAGTGGACAACTCTCGCCCACTGTCAGCTGCTGGTGCCTCCTTAAGAGTCGAACTATCATCACCCTCGTGCATATCAGTATCAGTCCCGTTGGCTGCCTCGGCGAACGGACTCTCATCCTCGAACTCGATGACTAGGTTATAGATGTGGCCTCGATATGCCCACTTAACCACCTCAGGCCCATACTCGATGTTCAGCACACTAACCAGTAGACGGGCAATCCCGTGGGCTCTGGTAAAGTCCAATCCACTCGCTCTGGTCTTCCCACCATGATACCCAAACTGGCCACGACCCGGGCATCCTGCATCGGTTTGGAGGGAGCCCCAGAGAACCGCAACCAAACCTGAGTCAGAGGCTTGCCCGTAGGCTCAATCCTCTTCCACTCGTGAAACTCAAGCACACCATCAGTACCCGGCACCTTGCACATCCCGAAACTCAGAAGTCTCTGAAGATCATCAACTGGCGGGAACTCAACTCGAAACAGTTTGTCCTCGATACTAACAAGATCCCACTGGAAATCCCCAGGGGCTAACTCCTTGAGCCTCTGAACAATCTGTGCCTCCGAGACCTCTCCTCTGGCAATTTTGACTAACCCAGTCATCAAACTCAAAGTCTCGTTAGGAACCTCCGTCTCCGTTGGAGATTCAAAGAATGTAAGTTCAGCACAGTACACTCCATACATCATGAGTGATGGTGCCTGATCTCTCAAAAACAGACAGTCCCCCGACTCGTGTGCCGGTTTACCACAAGTGCCACACAGCTCAGCCACACACTCAGCAATAAAATGTCCCTTGCCACCACATCTATAGCACAGCATATTTTCTTTCTTACGCGCCCACTTGGACGCCCTCTCAGACTCAGTCCTGTCAGTCGCCTCTACTATCACTGTCAACCCGGACTCTTTTCCGGAAATCTCAGCATAGGCAAGCACCGAGACCACCTCCATAGCTTGCCCTGAAAGAACCTGCTCCTCAACGGTCCCTTCAACCACCATCTAGTCAACAACAGGCGGCGGTGGCTGTCGTGGACGGTACCGGCCACCTCGCCCCCCACGGCCACCACGGTGACCGCGAAATCCACCCTGCTGTCGGTAGCCCGGGCCAGACGCCCCCTCAACAAAGCCTCCTGGGGGGCCCATGAACGGTCGCTCCGTCGTGCCATCGCTCTGCCAAGCGTAGCCCCGACCACCGCCCGCCGACGAGGACCCACGATGCTTACCAACTCCATATGCATCGAAACCATCATCACCCCACTGCCCCTTGGGCGCGGCAGAAGCTTGAGGCGGCGGAGGTGGCTGCGTCTGTACCGGCCCGACCCTGTTCTGCTGGGGCTTCGCGACTACGTGAGGCGGCGGGGCCGGCCTCGGTTGCCCGGTCAAGAGCCCTGGCGCAGTCGGCCTTGGCACCGCACCACCACGGCCCGCTGCGATCATCCCGGCCGCTGCCGGCGCCGGAGGCCGGAAACCCGCAGGAGGTGGGGTCGGCGGTCGAGGACCAGTCAACCCTCCACCACGGCCCGAAGCCGTACCAACCGCCGCGACCCCTCGGCCAGCAGACAGAGTCAGTGGAGGAGGCACCCCACGGCTAGTCCCATTCCCGGAAGCAGGCGGCGGCACGGCGCCACGGCCAGCGCCGGCACCCTGCAGTGGCGCGGTCCGGACGCGGCCGGTCCCAGACTTCTTTCCCGGCGGCACGGCACCTCCGCGACCCGCCATCGCCCCAAGCGGGGGAATGCGCCGCGCCCTTCCACTCCCGGCCGATCGCAGGTTAGGACTACGGCGTCGCAGAATCCTAGCAGGCGAGGGCGTGGGACGAAGCGACGATCAAACAGGCGAAGCTACGTCGCCCACAGCCGCGATCAAGACCGGATCCACCTGGGCCACATACCTAGGTGATACCAGCCCGACCAGCCCACCCGCGATGCCCCGATCCGCACCCAGCACAAGTTGTTTCGGCACCGGGTTAGCCTGGGCCTCATACCCAGCTAACCCCGGCCCAACTTTACTCAGCCCAAGAGCGCAATCGCTCGGCCTCTCTCAGCCAATGAGCGAATTCAAACGACGTTGGCGATCTTCAGCGATCCCGAGACCCGGAAAACCCGGCGAAACAGCCGCACGCGCCGCTGGCGATGATCTGGCTGCCGTCCGGCGATCCTTCTTCTTGCGCTTAACAACGATCCATGACTCCGGCCGAACAAGATCAAAAACAGTGAGATTAGGGAGACTAACCTTCGGCAAAGGACCCTTCCAAGGCTTGACCGCCGCCGTTGACAATCTCCGATGAACTAGGCGGCGAACCATCTCCCTTTTGTCGCCCGCGTGTAGCCCGATCCTTGCCGGATCATGGAGAGGCAGCACCTCGCCGATGGAGGATGCGACCTCCTCTTCCGTGTAACCGGCATTGAACCAGTCGTTGACGTGGTCGGAGGGAGTCGGCGTCGGCGGTGATGGCGGAGCGTCGTCCGCATCCCCGTCTGCGTCCTCCTCATCGGCGTCCGCAAGCGCCCAAAACCTGCCACCTACCCGTCGTCCCTCGCCAGAGAGGAGAGGCGGCGCGCGTGTGGTCACCCCGCTCGTCGCCCCCATGCCGTGTTTTGTGTGGATGCTGGAACGCACAAGCATCTTATCTTCTTGCTCCTTTATACCCAAATTTTGGTATTTTATCTTTTTAACTGACAGAACCACTCTATATTTGTCGGCATGGAAATTGGAATAGACATTGTAGATCCAGTGTGAGAATATCATAGCTGCGCTAAGTAAATGTACTATTGTTTAGAATGATAGTCTCACTATTTTTTTTAAAGTTAGGATGGTTTGCCTTACTAATTGTACAGTTTTAATTTTTTTGTTGTTGTTCAATTTGCTCTCTGCCATATTATTCTATTTTCGAGAGTTCATGAAGTCATTCTGAAATTTTATTTTTCATTGCTCAGCTCCTTTTCTCTACGCTCTGTCAGGCTGCAACAGCCTAAGTTTCTATTTTCTATCTGGGCTCCACTGGCAGTAGTAGGATGCTCATTGGCAACCCAAGGTGTGTATGCCCCTACTTCCCCAAGGTACTCAAGCCCCATGCCTGGGGCGACTTCAGCCACTGGACAATAGTTCCGCCTTAATTTGTTCCATATATGTGTTGCAGTATCAATGCATTTTCCATTCAACTTTCTAAAGATTTTTGTTCACAGATGTGTGCTGCTGTGAGGCATGTAGCACCACTTCTCCTGACTGCTATAATCAGTGGAAGATCTCATGACATGGTATGTGGTTCATGTTTTCTGTACCTCTTGATATTTGACTTTATGAAACTAACCGAATTGTACTAAAGATAGGCGTCATGGTCTCATGGAATGGACATCATAGGGCTTATTAGGAACTCTGAGTTCAGCGGGCCCCATGCCAAAAGGTGAAGCAACTTTTGGTATTTTGTTATAGCACGATTTGTTCTTCTGTTTCCTAAACTTGATCGCTCACTTGCTTTCTTTCACATGGTAAAGAGGTCAATCTCTTCCAATACACAATCGCTGAGGTATGTATCAATGTCTAAAGTTAAAAAAGACCCAGGTTACACCATATGGTTTAGGTTGCTCACCTTGGTGGCTGACTAGGCGTTCAAAAATCTTAGTGAGAGTATAAAGGACATTGTTGATGGTGCAATAATGGAACACAACAAGTTGTGTGTGTGTGCGTGCGCGTGCGCGCGTGCTTGCGTGCGTGCGTGTGTGCGTGTGTGTGTGTGTCGCACGACCTGGGAGTCTACATCTAAGAGTTCCTTTCAATTTTCTATCAGAAACATTTCTTTATAAAAGTTCTGTTGGACACTTATCTTCTCTTTACTTATCGTTTCGTGGGACTACGAAAAAGTTCATCTGTGTGTAACTACAGGGTTCTCGAAGTCCGCCCTCTCATTGACAGGGTGAAAGTTGTGGAATTTTTGCTTTAACTGCCCGGAGTAAGATGACAGGACATACAAAGATGCATTCAAGGTAAGCTCCAGTGAAATTACGTGTTCATAAGACAATTCTTTCAAGTTGCGACGTACATTGTGGTGTCTCCGTTCATCAAGTTCTGAGCACCAGCTCCAGTGAAATTAGGTGTTCATCCAGCCATACTCCTAGGTGGCTTTCTTTGGTGTGCTTATTATTGTGTAGTTAGTGGTTATGCACATGCCTCATCATCTGATATTTCTGCAGTAGTTACTGAAAGAAATCTGAGGACAAGGCTTTGATTGTTGTTGTAGTTGAAGATTCAAATTTGCAAGGCAGGCACAGTTAACAGGGATAAGAAACTATAGAAGATTTATCAAACCAGATATGGGCTTGGTTATGCACTGAATCATTGTGGAGGATCTCAGGTAATTAGGCCATACACCCAAAATTAAATTTTACTTGCTTTTAAATGTTTAGGGGGCAGATGATGTTTCATATGCTAGACTGAAATACGCACCTTTTAAGAGTACCATTGATACTCCAGTCACCCATAAAAATGGAAGTACTGAAAATTAGTTTGTAAGGAAAATAACTAAATAGTGAGTCCGAGCAAACCTACTGCCTGGATTACATGAGATCATTTTAGATCTAAGAGTTTCTTTTATCTTTTTTTTACATTCTGGTAAACATGTGGGTGAATAACTGTTAGAAATTGTTCTGTATGTACACGTGCATTCTACCAGAACTGATGCTTGAAAGAATAAAAGTTCTATAATATTTGTAAGCCAAGCAGTGGAAAAGCTCACTCCTCACAGTAGATTACCATCGTCTATGTATCTGCTTTGTCGAAACAGAGTCCACGGGTTTACTCATGTCATCTGTTTTTTGTTGTTTGAGGGAAGGTTTGTTAGGAGCCCATCTCTTCTGCAGCAAGCCCTGCAGAAAGAGAGCTAGATATAATGGTACTTGCTAGCCTTTTAATGGACACTTCCTTTTGGCCTTTTTTAGTTTCTCTAATTAGGTAAGATACTTCAGTGAGTGAGAATTTTTTGTTCCCTCCCTTTTTCATTGTCTTTTGAGTTTTGCTTTGTGGTGAGAGGAGGATAGAGATACCCAATTGCCGTGGGGATCAGAGATTAGCTGAGGTCACATTGTTTTTCTCGGCTTTACTATGTGAAGTATAGGAAGAAAATAAAGTAATGTTAGAATATTACAATCATATATCTAGACATATCTCTACTCCTAATGGAGCAGTTGCAAAATAAAAGTCGGGAGAAGTATGAATTCGAACACAATCCCCTCCGTCCTCCTCCCGTGACGCGCGTCATGGGAGAAACCCTAGCGCCACCGCCGCCGGGACCCCTCCTCCTCCCCTTCTCCCCTCCCCTGCCGCCGCCTGCGAGCAAGGCCGGGCGAAGCCCAGTCCGCTCCTGCGGTGTGTGTGTGTGTGGGGGGGGGTCTTCCCTTCACCGTGTGGCCGCGTGTGGCGCAGGATGGCGTGGCCGGCGAAGGCGCGGTGCAAGCAGGGGGTACGGCGGCGTGGCATCTGAGTGTGGGGCGGCGACGCCTGGCCAGGTGCTCGTGCGGGTTGCTCTACGACGGGGGGTGGCTGCGATGTTGCCGGCGGCTGCGTTTGTGCGTGCCCAGATCTGGCAGCGGCTGCGCCCGCGGGTTGCGTTGGCTTAGCTGTTGCCTGGGTGGCTCGGCACGCACGGGAGCTCGGCGGGCAGCGGCTTGGGTCGCCGCTGCACCTCGCCGTCCGGCTGTGTGGTCACTGGTGGTGGATAGCGGCCGCTGGTGAGGTTCATCTTGTCCAGCCACGGCGCAGGTCTGAGTGCGGCTCCAATCCAGCCCCTGCTGAGCTTGCACATGTCGCGACATAGGGCTGGACCTTTCCCAGTGATGGCCACAGTTGATGGATGGATCCGACGCCGGGAGGGCGACGGAACCATCCTTGCCTCCTGTTAGGTGGCGCACCGGGGATCTCATCCTTGCACGGCCTAGCAGGACAGGGCGGTGGCGGCCGAGTGCGGCCGGCCCGGGGGTGGGCCTCGGACCTGGGGACCGTCCAAGGGCAGGAAAGGAGGTGCCTTCCCGCCCGTCTCTTCGCCTGTCATGGCTGCAAGCTTCGGTAGGGGATGGTGTCGAGACCATGGGTGTTGGGGCGGCGGCCCTGGAGGTGGGAGGCGTGGACTCATGGGCGGAGCTCATGGCTCGGGTGTGAGCTAGTTGCCTTGACCGTGCGGGGGTGTGGTGGTCAGGGTGCGACAACCAGAGGGGTAGGTCCGGCGGGCCTGGTTTGTTGTGCCTCGCCTCGGGGGCTGTGAGGACTTCCGGGGTGAAAACCTGCATTCGCTCTGCCAAGTCGACGGCGACGTCGCCTATGGGCGGCGCCTCCTTCTTGAAGGTGTCGTCGCGGCTCCTCTACATGCTCCGATTGCTCCGAAGGAAACCTTGATCTTGGGATCGGGCAGTGGCGATACTCCTATGTCGTGCCCTTCTTGAAGGCACTGCCTTGGAGTGTTCGGCTTGTCGTGCACAGCTCTCTCTCTCTCTCTCTCTCTCTCTCTCTCTCTTCACGGTGACTCGCTCACGGTTGAGGTCTTCGGAGACTACAAGTGGTGCTATCCCTGCCTACATGTAGTTGCTTGGAGTGGATGGGGGTGATCTAGCAGTTCATATACACCCTTCTATCTTGCCTTGTGTGTGTGTTGTGGGATGAGTTGTATGTGTTGGTTTGTATGGTGATCGTTGCTTTATATATAAAGCGGGGCACGAGCCTTTTTCGGTAATGGAGCATTTGGTTGTCTCCGTTCCATTTTTTTTCCGTCCCACCTCCCACCTTTGTCTGGTTTTTTGTGGTTACTATGTAATACAAGTGGATTTTCTTCACACATAAGCCATGAAATATTTGAGCCTAAGATGCTCACCTTCTCGGGATGCTACTTTGAGGGTGGCAAATCGAGTTAATTGAACTAGGTGAAATATGCAAGAGCTGGAAAACACGGATGTAAGAGATCAATACTCATTCGGGTTTTGACAGTTACACCGTTACAGTTAAATTTGCGAGCAAGAAAGTTACACTGATAGAGAACGGCGGCATTGTAAATACCATCTTAACAATTGAAGAAGTAGGCTTCATGATCTGGGCATTGGGGTCAGGACGCCCATATCTTGCGTCGGAAGATGTATATGGAGCATTAGAGACATTAGCGCCTGGGTTAGAAATTAGCTCCGAGGCGATTGTTTAGTTCTAAGACATTAGTCATACATAATGTTACATTCAGATAAAGATTTTACTTTTCCCAGGGATAGAATTATGAAACCTTTAGTCTTGGGATCAAAGTAGATATTGCCTTAATATCTAAGCCATTTACGGACATGACCGTGAATATGTTCAGTGTAACATGTATAGCATAATAAAGTTGGAGAAGATTAAGGAATGGGGCATTTTAGTTAATCATGTGGGCCTAGGGTTTTCTAACAGAGAGCAATGTCAGAGAATCCATCAGTTAAAGTTTGTCTTCGATCCAAACACGTAGTCAAACTTTCATGCCATGGGCTCGGTAAATCGAGAATGATAGACGCCTTCGACTTTCCAGCCATGGACTCACTAGATCAATAGAGAGAGGAAGAGAGCAGTCAGGGGGTGACGGCAGCTCAGGAGCACGAGCGCGGTGGTGGCCATGGAGAATGAGCGAGCATGGAACGGGGACCAGAGGTAGGATGCGAGAGCTGGAGCGTCATCCGTAGTGCGACACCATGCGGCAATCGTCCGAGGTGTTGCGGAGGCGGAACAAGGCCGTTCGGAGTGAAGACGAGCAGCGTAGGATGGCAAGCTGGGTGGCAGCGACGGTGGGGTGCTGCAGATGGAGGCGTTTGGACGGGCTAGCGAGAGGAAGGGGATGGGGTCGAGAGCGGCTGCGGTGCGTGAGTGCGTCCCCACCATTGTTTTGTGACCAGGCCCACGTAAAATTTAGCCAGCAAAATGATCCATGGTATAAGATGCCCGAATCCACCTACCTATGGTTAATTTTATTTATGAACATGTTCGTGTCTTCTTGAATTGTAGCATTTTTGGCTGAGGCCATGCATGGAGAAGCTGGTCTCCTGATGCATCTGTCAGCCATGGGTTACAAACTGAATTAACAACAAGTATGGTGATAGCGAGCGTTGTCGTTATCTCCAAAGAATAATAACTATGCACCATAGTGCTGAACTTTGACATTTTGCGTTTTGGTTATAAGTTCCTTTTAATATTTGGTGATTTACTAATTAATCTTTCTTTACCAGCTTGTGTTGTCAGAGTATGGTTTCACTGTGGGAAATTTATTTGAAGGTCTCCATGATGGCATAACTCTATGTAGACTGACGTGTCGATTATTTTGGCATGCATTTTTGGCACATCATTATCCAGATACTTATTTCCATTACTATGACATCACGCTTTATTTCATAAGTTGTGTACTGTTAGATTGCACCTTTTGTTTGTATCAAGATCTGAAGTATTTGACTTGATGTTCAGTTTTGTCTCACTTCATAGGAAGCATTACAATGGGATATATTGTTCAGGAGTAGAGATACTTTGAGCCCACCGTCACCAAGATTCACCCCGTCCGCCCAAGTCCACCTTTCGCCATGAAGGGCCACTCCTCTACGGCAGCAGGGACGACCAGGACGCGGTGACGCCCATGGACTGACACTTGTTACACTCCACAAACGGATCCTACCTGTAGAGCGGTGGCGCGGGTGGGCACCGGCAATGAAGAGGGCATGCTGCGTATCGACGCTCTGCTTTTGACTACATCTTCAACCTCGGCCGGCAGTGTCATACACCGCTTCTTCAACCTCCGTCGTGACCCTTCCTCTCGGACGACAAGCTTGCCACCTTCTCGCTGCTAGACAAAAGTTCACCAGAAAAAAATGATCCCATCACCGGGATCAACACCGCAGGGTCGTTGACTTGGTTGATCTCTTCGATGTAACTGAAATTGGTGGGTCCATGTGGTTGGAGAGCACGTTTCTCCGGGATGTTGATGCTATCGTGCTCATTGTACACGCTCGCGTGACGGTGCTTGACTCCTGGGAGCAGGCCGGCAACCACCGCCTGTTGGACCAAGTAAGCTTTTCTGGCCTTCTAAATAATCCTATTCTCTTGTTTATTTTTTCTGATTGATGATTGATTCGATTTGCAGGGAGAATTATGTAGGGAATAGTACAAGCTAACTCAAAATCATCTCGTACTTGATCAATCTTGTAATTATAAAGCGAAATTAAGCTACCAAAATGATTTAGTTTGGTGGAGAAGTTTGGAATATTAACTTCTTGGTTTAGTTACCTAGGCAATGGAGATCCCATGCAAATTAAGAATAAAGGTTGATTGGTATCTGACAAATGACTTTTCTTTCTACTCTACATTTTCAGAAACTTTGTACGAAGCTGGTGCACATAGGTTCTGGGTTGGTATATTTCCTTATGTAGCCTTTGTTCAGGTAAATCAGACAGGCATGGGGACTATAGGTAGCCTCTCTTTTTACCCATCTCTGCTATTGTTAATGAGTCTAACAATGAACTGACTACATTTCCATATTTTCACCTTTGTTACCACAGAGCTACTCGAAGGTTCAAAATAATACGTCAGCACTTTAAGTCTCCCATTTCGAATGCCATGATTTGCAATTTGTGATTGGGGATGCAGTAGTAAGCTCTTTCTTGTGCAGTTACATTGTTGTGAGGTGCTACAGTCTCCTCTGATTGTTCAAGCAAAGGTTCTAGAAAACAGCATAGCCATGTATGTTGCTTCTATTAGGTGAGGATGACAAAGACTGCATGTGCGCGCACGTGGGGGTTTGTGGATTCGGGCACGCGAAACTCCCTTACAATCCAGACAAATCATACGTTCGAACCATCTCGATGTTCTTCGCTAGCTTCGTCGCGTCGATCCTGTATATTTACTATTGGATCCTGAAGCCCCAGGTCATCATCTGTTCCCGTGATTATTTAGCAAATACAGAACAACATGGTTGTTTATATTATATGTATATTGTTGGGTAGGAGTTTTTCTCACTAGATGTGAACATTAGGAAGGATATATCTTGTAGCAGATCAGATTCAGGATCATGTCATGATTTCTTAAGGGCCTCATGATTGTTGTTGTTTCTTTTTTCCTTTAAAAAATAAAAATACCTAGGTGATTATCCTAACTATCATAATTGTACAAGCAATATTATCAGAATAACTAAGCAATTTTTTCTTCAGGTTAAGTACAAAGTTTAGGGTGAGTTTTTTTTTAGATTTATAGTGCCTAATTTGAATCAACACGGACAATGATATTGCAAGGCTTGGAATTTTAGACTCACTTTCTATTCCTAGCTTAAAATTTGACATGTCTTATGCTTATATATGCAACCAGTTAATTATTTAAAATGCCCGTGGCAAGGGCATTCTACTAGGAAACATGTTACAGTAGCTAACTACCCCATGATTACAACAGTAAATATTGATAGGAGTACAAGCATTGGGGGAGTACTCAGTACTCACCATGTTCGACGAAGTCGTCGTGGTGGTGGTGGTTGAGGAAGTCGTAGGTAATGGCGGCATCATCACGGAGCAGGGACCATCTTCTCCTCGATTTAAAGTTTAAACTGTAGTACTCCATGTACTTCCACTTGTAAACTATTTGAAATGCAGATCCACTCCAAGAATGTGCTCTGAAATGGAGTAACATGGAGTGTACTCTAAAATCTGTTTGGTTTGAGCCCAGTAGATCAATCAAAGTACGCTGGCGTGATAACAAGAATACTGCAACCTAATCAGTTTGGTTTGAGCCAAGCAAAAGTACTAAAATCCTGACAAAAATAATACTACAGCACGATACACATGATTTCAGAGATGTTGATTTCAGTACATACAACCCATTGAAAACATGATTTTCAGAAATGTTGATTTCAATTAAACTACAACGTTTACTCCAAGTAATACTCTAAGAAACAATACAAGTACACCTATTGTACTGAAAGTACTCCTGTAGTGCAAATACTCTAGGCAGAATGTACTCCTACAGTACTGAAAGTGTACTCCTGTGAGTACCAAATTTACTGAATTTAGAGGCATCAAAATGCTCACACCCAAGTTCAATCATCTACACATGGAGTAGTGCAACCGAGTGGTCTTTACCATGCCCGAATCGACAAGAGGTAGTGGCATCAGGAGCTGCATCATCCAGGAGCAGTAGAAGCCTTTCCAATCGCTCCTTGCGCCTTGCCTTTCCAATCTACTCACGCGGCAAAGAGCAGTTCTTGGCCACAGTACATCTGCATCCATATTCCATCCAGAGCAACAATCACAATCAGCTCCAGAATCTCTCCTTGCCTTTCCCCAAATCATAGGCTCCAGAGATTGGAAAGACGTGGGGAAAATTAAGGATGCAAACCTTGCAGGTCGAGTCGTGGGGAGCTCGACTTCGGGGGCGATCCTAGGAGCAGGTGACGAGGAACTCGTAGAAGCGATGGAGCACCAGCAGCGTTTGGGATGGCAGCGTCCAACACAACGCTCCTCCTTGCAGGTCGATGGCGACGAGGAGCGCCAGCATCCGTCGCCGCCGTCATCAAGCAGAACAAGGCCGCCGTGCCCGCGCTCGTCGGGCTCCAACTCGACCTCACTAAAACAACCAACTTTGGCTCGACCGTGATGCAGAGGATGCGGGCGAGAGGAAGAGGCGACGCGGACGAGAATGCGAGGAGGCGACGCTTGGGGAGAAGGGCGGCGACGCGGCTGAGTCGCCAACGCAGGTGAGGGGGAGGTGCATCGCCGACGCAGGTGAGGGGGAGGTGCGTCGCCGCCGCGTGCTAGGGATTTAGGGGAGTGGGTGAGCGAGGGGAATGAGCGTGAAGATGGGACTGAGCAAGTGGGCGAGTGAGTGAGTAAGCGAGGGGTAAACCTGGAAACCACAGAAAGTAACTTTTCCGAGAAATGTACTAAAAATCATCAATATTCAAAATACAAGCATTTATTTTTGTTATCACTGTTTTAAAATAATACTAATTTAGGAAATTGCAGGATGTGTCTGGCTATTATGTTTTTTTATGCTCTGGTGGAATGGTAAAGAATTACTTCGTCCGGTTAGTACCATGAGTATTTTCCGTTGCATATTTTAAGACCTTCGACATGAAGTATTCTCGTTACAGTTGCTTGTGTAAGATGTGTATAAGCTGAGGAAGAATGCTTTATTATATTTGCTCAAATATTGTGCGAATGAAACTGAAGACAACATTCTTAATATTGTGCGAGAATTTCTTAAGCACAACAACTAGATATTAATTTGTAATAAAATTTTAGTTGGATCATCACTATATGTAGATATCATTAATTTATCTTTTTTTATCAATCTACATTGTAAGCGAATTGGACTTCAATAAATACCCAACTTTGCTCGTGCTATCTTGTCTCTACATGTGAAATTTGACATGCATTATGTTTACATAATTTTAGCAAAATATTTTCGTAGCACATGGCAAGGCACCGACATTTCTGTGATATCTTATCTCTACATGTGAAATTAAACATGCATTATGTTTATACAACTCAACATAAATATTTTAAAAGCCCATGGCAACGCACGGGCATTATACTAATAAGTACTAAAAACTGAGAGAGTATATAAATTCCAGGCGTTGACAAAAGTGTTAGCCAAACGTGGGCTAGTATTTTTTTTATTTGAGGGGTTCCAAAAAATGTTTTTGAGACAAAAAAGAAATTTTGAGGGGTTCCAAATGTGGTGGACTGGTGGAGGTGCTCTTGTAAGTGGGCCAAGATCTCCGGTTGATGGGCCTCAGCCTGCGCTTGCTTCCCGTGGCTCTTTCTTCTGTGCCCTCGCATTCCCCATCCCCTCTGAAAACATCCCCACCTGCGCCGCCGCCGCCGCCGCCGCACAAACAGCAGCAATGGAGCCACCGCTGCCAACGACCGTGTCTACGTGCACCTCTGAGACGGCGAGGGGCAAGCACGTGTTCAACATCGCCGGCTACCATCTGCACAAGGGTATGGGCGCCGGCGAGTCCATACGGTCCGCCACCTTCGCCGTCGGCGGCTACGACTGGTGCGTCCGCTACTACCCCGATGGGGACATATCCCGGGACTGCAGGGGCTATGTCTCGGTCTACCTCGAGCTCCTCACCAGGGACGCCGAGGTCAGGGCGGACTACGTGTTCAGGCTCATCGACTCGACCAGCGCTCTGCCGTCGGTGGTCCGCAGGTTTACCAGCAAGTACACCCCCGTCGACCCAGATGATGATCCCGATGGCTATGGAGCTAACAAGTTCATGAAACAGAGTGAGCTAGCATCGTACCTAAGGGACGACCGCCTGGTGATTGAGTGTGAGGTCAAGGTTATCAAGCAGCCGCAGGTGAAGGAGGAGGAGACCGTCTCCGTCGCCGCACATATTGAGGTGCCGCCGTCGGACCTGCCGAATCATCTCAAGAAATTGCTGGATGGGAGGAGAGGAGCAGATGTGACTTTTGAAGTTAAAGGCGAGGTTTTCCCTGCTCACAAGATTATGCTCGCGACACGATCGCCGGTCTTTGATGCTCAACTCTATGGACCCCTGAGTGATTCCGCGGGTGACAACATAATCATCGAAGATATGGAGCCTCCTGTTTTCAAGGCGTTGCTTCACTTCATCTACACAGATTTGCTGCCTGCTGCTATGGATGACCTTGATGATGGTGAGAACCAAGACATGGTTAAGCACCTGCTGGTGGCCGCCGACAGGTATGCCATGGACAGGATGAAGATGTTATGCCAAGGTATTCTCTGCAAGAGCCTTGATGTTCAAACTGTGGCGACAACATTGGCGCTAGCTGATCAGCATCACTGCAGCAAGCTGAAAGATGCATGTGTTGAATTCATCCTCTCTTCAAACAGAATGGATGATGTGGTGGCAAGCCAAGGGTATGCGCACCTCAAAAGATCTTGTCCTGCTCTCATGTTTGATGTCTTTGAGAGGGCTACCAAGTCTCGCAAAATTTAATGTGCTAATCTTGAGTTAGTTCAGTTGACATGTGGCCACCTGAAATGAACTAGTTTCTTATCCTTTAGTTTTTAGAGATCTCTGGGTGGGACTGTCTTAAAAGGTATTTTGGACAAAGCTTGCAAATATTTTGTGTGCTCATGTTGGGTTAACTTCTGGATGACTAGCCACCTGTCATGAATGAGTTCTTCTGGATGACTAGCCACCTGTCATGAATGAATGTTGGTCTTGCAAGATGTACTGAACTACTGGTTGCCTCTTCATATGTATGAATCTACACCTGCTTATTAGTTCTCTAAATTATTTGATTTTCTGAGTTTTCAGTACCTTTACTGTTTATCTGTTATAGTTTTGTCCTTCTGTATCCATTTTTAGACTAAGCATGACCTGAACGTCCTGCATGTTATTTTAACTAGATAACCCTTCGATTTCATTTTTGTTTGAACACCGAGGAAATTTTTGTTTCCAGGTGATTAGTTTTGGGGTAATAGGTGATACTAGGTTGATGACCATACAACTGGATGCTAAGTGCTAGATTTCAGTTGGAGAGAAAGCTAAGATGAAATTTACTTCCAGATTGTTAATAATCATGAACTTGTGCCATCAGAGGAACTCATGACAGCCGGCGGTTTTGTTGTTTTTCCAAGCTTTTGCAGTCATTCTGTAGGATGCTGAAGATAAGCATAATAAGCTGGTGGTGCACTTATTCCTTGCACAATTTTAATTTTCTTAATCATCTGCTGCACTAGCATTGCCAGGCTTACCAGGGCATGCCAGGGTGATCCTCCTTACTCTCCTCCAAAATGTGCTAGTAGTAATATTGTTTCCACCATGAACTGTGCTAATGTGAATCTACTTGATAGAAATGCAGGTTGGCAGTGCAAAATTCTAGCGTATCGAATTAGCTAGGTAACCGATCGATCATCTGTTTTTGGACTCTTGCTTTGCCTGTTCCAAATCCATTAGTTGTAAGAAAAATTCTGTGTTTTTCGTTTCGTGTCATCATATCATATGTATGCATCTGTTCCGTGTAAGTTGTAAGAAGATATTTCTTGGAACAATCTTTGCATACCTATAGTATGCGCACTTGCATTTTCTGGGAGATGATTTTTAGCATATGTATAATTCTACATGTTGTTCCCTCTGATGTGGGAAGGTTTAGCTTAACTGTGCCCAAGTTCTGCCTCCAGACCGGGGCTTCTGTGCGTGCAACCATCGCCACCCTCGTGATCATTTGTCACTGATCATATCCCCGAACCATCCCGTGAACTGCAGCAGATCAAGTTGAAGATCCGCAGCCCCTTGATTGTTTTCCGTCAGTCTATCAGTAGAGTGCAGAAGAAGCAACCAGTCTGAAATTGGTGTGTAACTTCTTCATGTACCATCTATATGTCTGATTTATATTGTTGGCTGTCACCGTTGGTTATGAATGAATCTTTTTTGTTATGCGAGCTTTACATGGCAGCCATGCCAGTTCATATTTTTGAAAGAACAGACTAATAAACATTTTGAGAGAAGGTCCAATTGCCACAGGATGTCTGGCCTGTTTGATTCGAGCCCAAGTAAAATGTTGACAACCATTCAAACAAAGGCTGCATTTGTTTCAGTCCTGGAGAGTTTCTACGGCGATCATCATGCCAAGTGCCAACCAGGTTCTGGGGCATTTCTTTCACTAGTTGCTTCAGTTCCCTTCATACGGCGGAAGTTGCCTACGGTGATCATGAAAATGGGGACCTGCCAAAGAGCGCCCCGCCGAGAGCTCCTGTCTCACCACCGGCGTCGGGGGTGCCCGGCGCGACCGCTGCTCGCCCTACCCATCCTTTGATCCTAGGGCCAAACCTTCCGTAATCACTATATGTCACTATTAAACAGGTCAATTTTCACTCTATACAACTATTTTGACCAGGTCCGTCTAACTTGACACCAAATCCATTGGGTACCTCAGTACCAGTCCAACAGTTAAAATGCCATAATTTGTCATGAAGTTCTTCTGAACTTCGGTCATGCAATTCATGCTTCTGAAGTATGTTGAAATGAAATGGATAAGGGCATGAGAGTAGAAAGAAATTTATATCATAGATACTCCATTCTTTAGAACATTGACATGATGTTCAAGACAGCATAACAATCATGAACTGATGGTTAGCAGCAGCGATGCTTCTGCCATACAGAGTGTATTTTCTTGTACTAAAAGAGGTAGTAACAACAAAGAACAGATGACATGTTCCTCAAAAAAGAAAAAAGAACAGACAACATGGCTGATTTGGGTTAGAGGCTGCAACGGTAGGGCTAACAGCGGAGCCGAGCGCTAGCAGTAAACTAACAACATCGTAAACAGACTATCATCAGTCTTCCATGAGACCACAACATGATGATTAAGATTGCACATCTTGTAACCTATTCCTACACACAAAAAAGGCCCAAATCCTTGACACAAAAGCTTCAGCCAAACTCTATTCTCCAACATGGTGAAGGTCAATGAAACAAGTACTGCTTGCCAGTTTTTTATACAAAGAACTTGACATTGTTTTAACAAATATTAGCTGTATTAAAGTAGCAACCAGACACAAAACAGAGCTAGTGATCAAAATTACTTGCCAGACGCAAACTATCAACAGCACTATATCGATGGCAGCTTCACAACTATGCCTGTGAAAGAAACATCTCCGCACAACGAGCCTGAGCGACCAGATATGCCAAAAGCAATGTATGATCACAGTGTATACTGAACATGAAAGATCCAAATACTACACTACAGAAGAGAATAACTGAACTAACCATTTCAACAACCAAGTAAAATACCATGACTTCTCATGAATGAATTAACATTTCAAACTGCAACCGTGCCTTTCATGCTTTTCAACATTGAAAACTGAAAAGTAAACATGGTAGAACAGTAGAACTGTTCTAAAGCATAGACATCCATTGTTCAGAACAATAGCATGGTGTTCAAGATAGCATAACAAGCAGCAAATAATGATAGCAGAAGCCTGCTTCCTCAATCCTAATAGTTTAGTTCTACTACGAATCAGTAAGAACAAACAACAAAAGACATGGCCTGTATGGGATAGAACACTCCAGCGGCATGGCAAGCCCCGCATCTTATAGAAGTATGATGAACGGAGGCTCGGCATCTTCTTGTTGCGTCTCAAACAATGGAAGTGAAATCATGTTCTCTTGGAGGCGATACCCGGTGAGTGACAAGCCGAATTGACGCTCTAACCTTTCCACATTCCATAAGAACACACCGTCAACGTCACAATGCAACAGACGGTCAGGATAGTGCTTGATCAACAGCTCACGCTCGTTGATTACGGCCACGCTACGGATACCTTTCACCTCCAAACTAAGTGGTGGCAGTGCCTCCATCTCTAAGAAGTTAATCCGGTACCGCAAGCTCCAGGTCTCGGCATCATAGTCCTGCAACACCCAAACATCTATCTCGCCGTGACCGGTGAGGTGGTACAAAGCAAGATCGCCGGCCATGTCCAACAACGGCACCATATGCCCCAGCTGTGCTGGGAGGCTCATCTTCTGGAATGTCTCGGTTACGGTGTCGAACACCGTTATGTCAACGTTCAGGGCCCAGTGCAGGCTACCATGATGGTGGACTGGTGAGTGACCGGGGTACCGGCTGACAAGCTGAAACCATCTTCCTGAATCTTCCGGCCATTGGATGCGTCTTGGCTGGTCTGAGCCCACGGCGAGGACGAAGATGCATGGTGATGTTCTAACATCCAGATCACCCGGTGTTCTCCGGATACGTGGTGCCGGTAGAAGCCGACGACTGAGACGGCGCGGAAGCCTGGTCGTGTGGGAGGATGTGGCAGGGAAGCGCACTTGCGGGTGGCCGGGTTGCAGATGTAGAAACTGGATTCCCGCGACACGATGAGGAGGCCATCACAGGCGGCCTCGTGTGAGACCCGAAAGGTCAAGACTGCACAGGGAGGAGTGTACCGGAGGACGGGCCGTATCCTCTGATCTCCGGCGGCGGCGAGGCAGTAGATGCCCTGCAGGTGTTGGATGAGCGGGAGCGACGGCTGGCGGCGGAAGTGGCAGCGCGCCACGACTTGCGGACGGCGCGTCAGCGGAGCACGTCCTTGGTCGGCAGCCGGACCAGGATCTCCTCGACGACGAGCCACTCCGGCAGGTCGTCCAGCACGGTCGCGGCGCTGCTGTCCGGCATGCTGTTCTTTTTATAAAAATGGAAGAAGAAAACATTAGCAGTACTACGATGGATTGGGCGCAAGAAAAGAAGTGCTTGGGCGATCCACATACAGATCGTCGGCTTAAAGGACACTACGATGGGCAGGCAGAGCCGAGAGGATTTACGTACGTCGGAGCGGAAGCCGGAGGAGGACCGGGCGATAGCGGCGATTTCCAGCGGCGTCGCCTGGTTGTGGTTGAGCCGTGCTACTTCTTGGGGCCTGGGAGCGAATAGTAAACCTGGATGCGAATTGATGCGAGAGAGAAAGCTTTGGCCTGGCGAAGCTGCTGCCTCGTCTGTCGTGCACAGTAAAGGAGGAGGATGGGCGGTGTGAGACGACGTGCACGCTCTGCCTCTGCTGTGGCTGGTCGATGGGTCTGGACGAGCTGCTGCTGCGGGCGTAGCCTTTTCAGCCGTGGAGCGTAGGCTGGAATTGATGATGGAGAGAGAGAGAGAGGCTGCACTTCTTTGAGACTCCTTCCTTTGACTGAATCTTTACAGTTTGAAGGTCCATGTTTTTCTTGTTTTACAAAACCATCTTATCTAGCCTTGACTGATTGAGTTTTTTTTTTGTACTTCCTTGGATGTGCTTTCTATCTCCCTGTTCGTATTTTCTTTTCCTCCAGAAGCTACTGTTTCCTATACAATTATATTTTGTTCCAAAGACATACTATTTTTTTATAGCTTAAGCAGCAGAAAAGACGTGTTGGACAGGCATCTTTCTTCTGGAAAAGTTTTTCATTTTTGAATTTCCAAAGACACCACATAAAGGTGAAAATATTGCTTAAAGTGG